CACCAAGGTCTTCGTGCTCGATCCCAACATTTCCGCTCGTGGTGCGGCAAACACAGCCCCGATGTGTGTAGGGGAAGTTGAGCGGCAGTCTTCTCGCCGCCGGTGTCCATGTCGCTTGGACTTGAGTGATCTCCCAAGGCACCAGGTTCTGGATCTCTGCCATGAGTGCGTCGCCCTCATTGATGTAGAAGGGCCTCTTGAAGGTGTTCATGAAGCGCCGTTCGATCTCGTCGAGCAGTTCGCCCCAGCGTTGAAGGTCTGAGCTGGGTGCAACGTAGTAGACCTTGTTGGTCGTCATTGGCAGGGTCGTCACCTGGTCATTCGCGAGGGTGTTGTTGGCACCGTTGTCATACTTGGGCAGGTTATGCGTCCGGTACACGTGGAATCTTTGAGGGTTGCGCTGACGAGCTTCTTCTTGTAGGCCTTCAAGGATAGCGCATGCCAGGCCATTGCAGTATTCTCCTGAAGCCTTCGTGTCCTTGCCCTCGATTGCCTTCGTGTAGTACTTCTGTTCCTCGGTGAGGCGATGTTGTAGCCGTTGGGCGATCGGCTGACTGTTGGTCACCCACTTGTGTGGCTTTTGGATGGGCCATCCATCTGATGTCTCAGCGCCGTATGCGCCGGCATCGCAGGTCACTTCCAGGTTGTTGGCCAAGTTGCGTACGTTCTGGATGGAAGGTTCTTGTCATAGAGCTGAGCGAAGAGGGTTCTCGCCCAGGTAAAGCCGACCTTCACGGTCTTGTTCTTGGCATAGTCGTGCGCCAAGCTCAACAAGGGGGCGTTCTTGTTCTCGGATGGCTTCAAGCTCTTCAGGCCTCCGAGAGTAGTTCATGTTCTGGTTGAAGATGCTCCAAGGGCCGCATGGCCAGGCAACAAGAAGTAGCAGTGGTTTGAGCTTCTGGACCGCCTGGATCAGCAACTGCTTGCCGTGCTCGGTCTTGAGGTCGATGTCATAGATCAGGTCGAAGGGCTGGACTGCGCTCAATCCAAAGCGAGGCGCCAATTCCGACACTTTTGCAGTTCCAGCGAAGACTTCCAGGAGGTCCAAAACCATGCAGTCTGCCTTGGAGCCGCTTTTCTTGTAGTCCAAGTGCGTTGGCATGGACTTGTAGACTTGCAGCTCACGGTCCATTGTTTTTGACACTTGTCGTAGATGGCCAGTCAGCCATGCTTTTGTGCCCTTCTTCATGGTAGTTGAGGTAGTCCCGAATGCTGTGGTAGGGCCGGATGCGTTCATACTGGAGCTCATAGGTGGAGTTGCCGTAGAGCTCATGGAGTGGGCTCCGGAACTTTCTCCCAGTCGAAGCTGTCGTCCGAGTCCACGTTGTAGGTCTCTGTCTCGACCTTTGGCTTGCGCTTCGCTGGCTTCGTTTCGCTCTTGGAGCGAGCCGTCGATTCCGGGGTGCACCAAAGGGTCGATTCCGGAGTGCCCGGGGCTGCAAGTGCTCGCACAGGGCTCGATGGTGGTTCCGACGTACTCGGAGAGGACCGGGAAGGTTGAGTGTAATTGAGCGGCTGGATGCTGAGGCCCATGCGGAGAGCTGGGGTACGCCGTGTGTCCACAAAGTTCGTGGCCGTGTTGGAGGAGGACGGTAAGGGCAGCGGCACACAGCCCTTTCTTGACATTGGCTCGACCCACTTTGCCAAGCCTTGGTCCCACTTCCACTTCTTTCCGCAGTCCTGGCATTTGCTGTAGCTGTCATGCCTGTTCCCGTAGCGAGTCTGACGCTTGTGCTCGCACGGTCCGAGGGCAGTCTTCAGAAGCTGCTCCTTCTCCCCCATGTAGAGGGGGGTCTTGACATGCCAGCCACTCGCGGTCGCGGATGCCCAGCAGGGTCGCTTGCACCAAGACACGGGCCAAGAGGATCTCGGCGTGCTTGAGGGCTCTCACCACGCGCCGCCATGCCTGCAACCACTTTGGCGGTATCTGCGGCATATGGAGGGCGATGCAAGTGCGGCTCGAGCCTGTGCTTCTCGGTCGTGACAAACTCAGCGTCACACGCCTGCTCAACCATCGATGAGAGACTCTTCCAAACATCGTGGGTGTGGACACGCAGTGGAAATGATGCAATGTCTAAAGCAAGATGTCCATTCAACAACACGATCGGCACGCTGCACTTCAGACCGTCGAGATGTGCTCTCTGGTTGGGGAGGTCCAAGGTGGCCTTCAACTTCTCTTTGAGGAGGACGTTGCTTCCCAAAAGGGGGGATGTCGTTCGTGGTGTCCAACACGGAGGTGCCGAGCAAACAACAGGTTGAAGGTGAGCTATCGAAACAACATGGTAGGTATGCATGAAGTTTGCTGTATTGCGGTGGTCCATGTCCGAACTCGAAGGGTTCGTGGCTTGAAGTGGTCTTTGGTTTCAACCTCAAATGATGAACATGTTCTTCCCAACATTGGAGCCATGTGGTACTGCAGCAAGTTCGCTGACATGCGGTGTCCAAAACAAGGTAGTGGGAGAAGTTTTTTGAGGTTGTTTCCAAACACCATGTACGGCTCGATGTCGCATGGAGGGGAGCTCGGAAGTGACACTACATAGGTGAAGAAGGTGCCGTAGGTCTCTTCATTGATGGGGTCCCCAAAAGTCACTTCTCGAGTTCCTCCGCCAGGCTGTTGAACAGTAAGGACCTTTTTTGGCAGAGCTCTTGTCCTTGGACTTGCCACCGCCTTTGGCCTGATCTCTCTTGTCAGAACCTTTGCTGGTGGATGAAGAAGATTGTGGACATTCGGGGTCACCTTGCCAATGTCCCTTAGTCCCACAGGCTGCACAATGGGATTCAGCCTTTCTTTGGGCCACTGATTTGCCGGTGGTGAACTTCCGGCCAAGCTTCAAGCCTGACAAACGCCGGGCCGTCACCGTCAAACAATGCGCTGCAAGCGCCAAGTCTTCTTCGCCAGGCTCCTCGTTGCCGGTGTCGTAGTCCATGGAGGGTTCTTCGCATTCCTCATTGGTCTGCTCTTCAGCCTGGGCTTCATCTTCATCATGTCCACCCTCCTCGGGTGGTTCACTTTCCTGGTCGGGCTCCTCGGGGATCTCCGTCATGTAGGTGGTGTTGTAGCTTCGGGTGAAGGTCGAGGACTTGCCTTTGCCGTCCTTGGTCTTGCCTTTGCCCTTCGAGGAACCCTTGGGCTTTCTCGTATCGATCTTGTTGTTCTCTCTGTCGTCCTTCGGGCCGGTGTCAAAGTCCCGGGTGTAGACCACTGCCGGTACAGGACGATGTTCAGGAAATTGGAGTTCGGCGGCTTCCTTCACGTCCTGGTACTTCAGAGACTGGCCGGTGGCCACGAGTATGAGTCGTTGAGCTTCCAGTCCTAGTCTCATGCGATCTAACAAGCGGGATCCGGAAGCTTCTTGGTCGTACATGGCTTGGATGCTGACTCCCACGCTTTGGAGACTTCTCTCCGTGCGGTGGTATCTGTTGGTGAACGACTTGATCGACTCGCCATTGCGGCGGTTGAGCCGTTCGAAGTCGTCCAAGTATTTCCTTTTGAGGTATATGCCTTTGACCATCAGCGGGGCCCTCAGGGTCTCGACGATGTAGCTGACGCCGTCCTCGTGGTCCACTTTGTCGATGTCGCACCATTCGAGTTCTTGTTCCGCTTCTCCTTGAAGCGAAACGAAAAGCCTCATCGCCGCCTCATTCGGCGGCGCGTAGCTGGAGATCTGTCTTCTCCACACCGTGAGCTTCTTCTCCCACCGCTGGAAGGCCTGGATGTCGGAGCGGTGGTAGGCCCAAGGTGGCGGATCTGGTGGGCTGCCGCCTCTGTATTTGAGTCCTGGTTCAGGTCCACGCTTGATGGACCAGGGCTTCTCGGTCTTCTTCGTCTGCTCGGCCAGCTCCTTCAGCATCTTGTCTCTCCAGCCGGCATTCTTTGAGCTGGCTCCTCCACTGGCATCGGATGAAGCTCGAGCTCTCTCATCGGCGGCTTTGGTCTTGCCACCGTCGTTGGCGGCTTTGGTCTTGCCACCTTTGCCCTTCTGAACTGGTCCATCTCCTTTGCCTGAAGGATGCCGTTGAGGTTCAGCGGCATGTGGGTCCGGTAATCGGGGGGGCTTCAACAGGATCAGATCGAGGGGCAGCAGGAGGTGCTTGTTGTGGTACGACCGGTGGTTGAGGTACAGCATGATGTGGTTGGCGTGTTGCCGGTCTTCCATGTGGTTCAACTGGAATCCGTCCTGGGCCTGCTCCAGCTTGCCGGCGAGCTCGTCTTTCTCGGCGGCTAGGTCGAGGCTCAGGACATAGGGTCACAGGGTCAACACATGGGTCATTCGTCAGGGTCTCAGATTCGGCTTGTTCTCGGGCTTCATGGGCTTCAAGGTCTCCTGGATCTCCTGGCCTGCATCTCACCCGGCTCGGAACCCGTGAGGAAGGAGGAGTGGGAGTGTATGTCCATGAACCATGCTCATTGGAGGACGAGGTTGGCCGGTTGGCGTCATAGAAGGAGGTACTCCTGCATTGACGGCAGAAGTAGACGCCATCCACTAGCTCCCACCGAGAGCTCCCGCAGCGAAGGCATAGCCAAAGAGAAGGTGGTGTCGTGACGCTCAACGAACTGTCCGACTCATCATCGTCTTCTCGTGGTCCAGCGCTTCCAAGCGGCGTCCCGCTCTCGTTCTCAGGCTCCAGCTGCTCCTCATCGAAATCCTGGGGATCATCCCACAAGAACGACTGCTCTTCCCATGCATCATCCTCATAGAGCTCGTCGTCGAAGAAGGGTTCCATGCCAGGGAGGTCAGGCACCGCAGGCTCCGCGGCACCAACTGATCACAACGCTTGCTTCTGCGGGCGATCGAACAAGGCGGCCATTTCTCACATGGCGAACGAAGGATTGGCTCAGTGGGCCCAGCTTGGGCATGAAACGCAAAAGGAGACAAGGGCCATGGAGCAAAAGTCTCACACTTTGAAGTTCTTTCTGTTGTTTGCGTTGTTCCACCAAAAGGTGTGGCAGTTGGTTCACGTCTGAGTCGTTCAGCAGCCTCGCAGCCTCAAGGGCCCGGAGACCTGCCTCGTTGGAAGACAAAACCCGCTTTGAACGAGTCAGTGTCCAAGAAAAAAGGATTCTATGAGCAAACACTAAAAACCATCGTCAAACATAGAAAAATGTGACAAAGAAAGAACAATGAAGACTTTATGAGAAACATGAACGTCTATAGAAAACCAACGCAAATGTCAGCAAGGGGTATCAGCCTGGGGGTGTCAAGTCTGTGAATGTCGGAACAAGAAGCGCCCAAAATGGCCCACCAACCATAAAATCATATAGCGACGCTTTTCATGGCATCTCTACTAGGAGCAAGGACGCTACTAGGGGCTCCTGGCCTTACTACTAGGAACAAGAAGCTACTAGGGGCTCCTTAAAAAAGAACACAACACATGTTCATTCTTCTTTGGACCTTTGGACCTGCCATTCTTTCCTTCACTTTTTGGAGCAGTTTCAGTCTGAGCCTCGTTTCAAGCCACTTTTCCTCTCCAACCCCGACAAGGTCCCGGAATCGTTCCATTCGTTCCCGCCTCTCCCAAAGGGTTGCCATTTAATCGAAGCTTGAGAAGACTTCGGTTCACTTGCAGCGCCTCCAGAAATTGTCACGTATTGTCATACTGATACCCAATTAAAAATCGCAAGAAACTCACTCATTCTCAGTTTCCATAAGGGTCTGCGTGTTGCACTCTGGCACGGGGAGAAAGACCGTGACATCTCGTTATCGGTATCTAAGTTGACTTCCCTACATAAAAGTTGTGTGACACGTTGACGGAAATCAGCTGTAGGTTGGAGGCCATCGCTATTAGGAGCAAGTGCATCGATTCTAGTAACAAGTGCCTTACTACTAGTAGCAAGAAACTACTAGGAACAAGTGCATCGCTTCTAGTAACAAGTGCCTTACTAGTAGTAACAAGAAACTATTAGAAACAAGTGCCTTACTACTAGGAACAAGAAACTACTAGGTTTCAACGGTAAATACGTTGAGTTGCAGAACCGTCGTGTGACTCGGTCAAACTCGGTCAACACGTCGGGCGCACGGCCGCCAGCTTCTGGGCTCCGAGGTCGCCCACGAAGTTCCGTTCAAGGCCTGGGAACGAAGGTGCAGAAAGGCGAAAACACAAAGAAAACACAGTTCAACGCTAGTAGGTTGGAGGCCATTTAAGCCAAGGAACTTACATAGAAAAAGAAAGAGGCACTTGAAAGGCAGAACGCAAATAGAAACACAGCGCCAACCAGGTCTAGACATACCAAGGTCGCACCCTGGAGTTTGCCAAGGACCCCATTTTTCCCCCAAACAGGTTTGCCTGTGAGGGGTTCTTACTCCTTTGAAGGGTTGCATGCCCGGGCCGCATGATTTTACACGTGTCCCCGGCTTGATGTTAGAGTTGTCTCCCAGTACACTTGTCTCCTAGTACACTCTGGGTGCTCTGGCCGCATGATTTTACATCTTTTATTGTCCCAATACACTCTGGGTGCTACACTTCTCTCCCACTTGTCTCAGCACTTGGATACTCTTGGCCAGATGATTTTAAACTTGTCCCCCACTTGTCTCCCTTTTTGTACACTCGTCTCCACTTGTCTCGGCCTACTCTGGATACGCTTGGCCGGATGTTTTTATACTTGTCTCCGCTTGCCTCTTTGCTTGCCAGCCTACTTAGACACTCTTGGCCACATGGCTTTACACTTGTCTCCCTGCTTGTCTCCCTTCTTGTTACACTTGTCTCCACTTGCCTCAGACTACTCTGGATACACTTGGCCGGAGCTTGCTTGTCTTCTACTCAGATACTTTTGGGCAGGTGCTCTTGGCCGGGTGCACTTGTTTCCACTTGTCTCTTTGCTTGTCTCCACGCTTGGTTACTCTCGGCCGGATGATTTTTACACTTGTCTCCCTGCTGGTCTTTCTGCTTGTCTCCCTTCTTGCTACACTTGTCTCCACTTGTCTCCCTGCTGGTCTCCCTTCTTGTTCCCCTTGTCTCCCTCATGGTCCCCTGCTTGTCTCACCTCACAAGTTCATGCTGGGCTGAAAGCTCTTAACATTTTTTCAACCGAAGAAAGCATGATAAGTCACGTGTCAGTACAACTCAGCACATTCAGTAGAGCGTATGTTCTGTTTTCGTCTGAATTGCCGGTCCTGAGCGTGAGTTGATTGAGCCAAGCGCTGAAACAAGCACAGAAGGTCCGAGTTGATTGCCGCGAGCTAGAACGCTTTGAGCCCTTAACGGTTTGACAGTTTGTCTCTGTGGCTTACTTACTAAACGCACAATCTGTTTGGGGTCTACCCTGGTGAGACTTTGCCAAGAACTTAAGTCTTCCAACTGGAAGTTTTGCTGGAATAGAAATTGGGTTGCAGCCCTCAAACACTGTGGACGGTCCGGCGGCGGGCTCTTCGTGAAACGAAGGCATTGCTGCCATAGCAGATTGATCGACACTTGACCACGGCATGTCCGTAGCGTCATCGCCTGACGTGAACATCACGAGCAGGCTCCGCTACCACTACTGACGCGAAGTGCAATGCAGTAGTGGATTTCCCTTGGAAAGAACACAGTCTCGAGAGGGGTCCAACGGACAATGCTCGGGAAGCGAGTCAAGTGCAGCGTCGGCGTTTCCAGGCTTGAGCCAAATGTGTCAGTCATGTGCATATATGAGAGATGCTAGTAGTTTAAATAGCTACTACCGACTGGGCGCAAGAGAGCTCGCGCTTCTTCAAAGAAATTCGAGGCTTCCTTCAAGAAGCTTCGAGTTTACTAATGATTTGGTTCCTAGATTTCTTGGGAAACTTAAGTAGTAGTAGTAGTAGTAGTAGCAGAAGTAGTAGTAGTAGTAGTAGTAGTAGTAGCTTCTTGTTCCTAGTAGCGACGCCAGGGCCCGTACTGTCTTCTTCTTCCTAGTAGTAAGGCCAGGAGCCCCTAGTAGCATCCTTGTTCCTTTCCAAAACACCTTTCTGTTCTTTCCTTCCTTTTCCTTTCCCGTTGTCCGTTCCCTCTTGCACCTCCTCCATTCTTCTTTCTGTTTTGCCTTTCTCTGTAACTTTTCAGCTCAGAATCACACCAAGATCTGAGAGGTATGTGTTCTTGGCAAGGAGCTCTGCTAAGTCTGCCTTACAAGTAGATCGACTGTTCAGATTGGCCCAACTTACAAGAGACAGCATGGTGTAAAGGCGAAGAAGAAACACAATAGAACCAACAATAGTACGGGATGCAAGGGGCAACTAAGTCCGCCAAGACATAGAATTCGCATTTTCTCCGATGTGACAGCCCAAACCCGGCTACAATGAACAGTGCGATGAACCTGAGCTCACCGCTGCTCCATGATCACCGATAGAGTTCCAGCCTTGGCCCAAAACTGAACTCCACTTCGAAAGAAAAACCATCCGACATCCCGAGGTCTAGAAGAAAAACCATCTAAATGTGTATATATACCTATATGTTGTTCCTTTGGAGCATGTCACGCAGGTCTTTTAGGTCCTTTCGGTCTTGGGCCTTATCTGAGGTAGACTCCTTACGCATTCGTTGAACTGTCCTTGCTTACCATTTCCTAGTAGGTCGTCACGTGTGCCAAGCAATGCCAACAGGTGACAAAGTTGAGTCTCAAGGTCCCAAAAAAGGACCGACATGAAAAAACAGCTGTCAAGCAAAAAAACATTGAAAACACAAAAACTAATCAAACAACATTCAGGGTCGACTCTTTCAACTTAGACGCCCAGGTCCAAGTGATGCAGCGATCGATTGCCCTGGAGTGCCTTGGCCTCAGTGGCTTGTGCCAGCTGTGCCTCTCTACTCACCGAGATACCACCATTTTTCCTGAATGCGTAGCGAAGGGTTCTCACTTAACTCTGCGTCTGGGGTTGGACGCTTGTGCGCGGGTCATTATGGTAGCGTTAGCAACCGTTGGCAACCGTCCGCGGTACGGCGCTGACTTTGGGCGAAGCTTTTGGATGGTCAGCGAGAATTATTTTGCTGCACTGGTGCAGCGCTTTGTGTTGTCGTTCTGGCAGGTTGGGATTGGCGTCTAGAGGGTGTGTTTGAGGTGGATGCGGCTGTGACGGATTTGCGTTTCAAACTGTTGCTTCGAAGCTGCGCTTTTACGACGTGAGCGTGCTGAGAAAGTGAAATCATTCCGGTGCAAATATGGAAGACATGAAGAGGTCATATTGGTCATATCGTCACTTTTCGTGGCAGGTGCAGTATCTTGTGCGTGTTGGAGGCCTTGAAGTTGAATTTGCGTGGCAGGCGCAGGGAATTGTGAGGTTGCGACGTTTGGTGGAGGTGAATGTCGCTGTGACAGTGGGACTGGTGTGTCAGCGGGTGTGGCTGTGAGGGGCTGGGAATGCGAAATTGCTTGGCGGGGCTGCAGAGTGTGTTTACTCTGATGAGACTTCCCGCTTCACTTTTGAAGGAAGTCTGAAACGAAACGCTCGCTTTGGAGACTTCACACGTGACTTCTACAGCAAGTCTCCTACGAAATGCTGCCTCGAACGAAATGCTTGTTTTGGAGACTTGACCCGTGATTTTTGGAAGAAGTCTCGCACAAAACGCTCGTTCTGTAGACTTGGCGTGCGTTTTGGAGGAAGTCTCGCGCGAAACACTTTTTGCGAACTGGCAAATTGTTGTACGGGAAGCAGCTTCTGGGAGGCAACTTTGTAGTACAAATGTAGTGCAGGAAGTTGCTTGGAGGAGCTGTGTCCTCAGAACTGGCCACTTGGAAGAAGCAGCTTCTGGGAGCTGTGGCCCCAGAATAATTGGTAGTACGTAGTGCGGGAAACAGCTTCCCGCAAGACGTGCCAGAAAGGAGTCCCACTGTTTCATTCACCTGGCCCTGCTTTTTCGTGCGTTGACCGTGTCCACATGACATCGTGTTTTCTCTTTCGTCGCCACTAGGGCTTCAGGTTTGGCCTAAATCAGACCCAACCGTCTGAGTGTAGAAGGGATGTTGTAGATTCTCGGGAGGCCATCGCTCTTAGGTTGGAGGCTATTGCTAGTAACAAGAAGCTACTAGGAACAAGTGCATCGCTTCTAGTAACAAGTGCCTTACTAGTAGTAACAATGTTCGCTATTAGAAAGAAGAAGTAACAAGTGTAGAAGGAATGTCGTAGATTCCCGCAGTTTCTCTTAGGGACCCTCTCAGGCTCCGTCCAAATGTTGAACGCCACCTCAGCTAGATGTGGGACACCCCAAACCGGTCTGTGTTCAATTCGAAGGTCGGGACCATTGCCAAAGGAGTTGCAATAAGTGTCTAGGCCTCACAGTTGACACCGACGCGCAGCAAGGCGCCCAGAAAAGAGTCCAGAGTCCAGAGGGAATTGCCCTAAAGAAATGAAGCCCCTCTAACCTACTTGCGACGGCGTCCAACCTACTTGCGATGGCCTCAACCTACTTGTGATAGCCTCCAACCGGGACTCCAATCTAAGAGCGGTGGCCGCAAAGCCTAAAGAAACGGAGCCTTTTTTAATGTTAATCTCTTTGTTTCTTTGGAGAAGTACATTGGGAGATTCAATTCATTGAGGTGTAGAAGCATTCAAAAAGAAAGAAACCTCACTTCTTCGAGGATTCATGTGAGGCCCTGGCTGTTGAGACGAGTGCCTTGCAAAGCAAGGGCTAGAGCCTCGGGCCGTCGTCTTGGGTCACACTCGACACAGGAAGACAGCACCACAAAGCTATTAGAATTACATTAACTAATAGCTTCTTGTTACTACTAGTAAGGCACTTGTTACTAGAAGCGATGCCCTTTGCTCCTAGTAGCTTCTTGTTACGACTATGTTTAAGCCAACCCTTTTGCATAATTAAGTAGAGGCCAAACAAAAGAACATTGCACACATATACTCTTCAATGAGAGGTCCACGACTAAACCCTATAGAGGGTAGGTAAGACTCAAACTGAAGCACCCCGCTCCTGGATCGAATTCCAGCGTAAGCCTCGAAGCTCAAGCAGATTGACCTAAAGCCTTCAAACAGAAAGGGGTAGCAAAGCTTTGGACAAAGACCTCTCCAACTCAAGAAAATAGTAAAAGTCAAAACAACATCGCTACTAGGAACAAGTGCATCGCTTCTAGTAACAAGTGCCTTACTGGTAGTAACAAGAAGCTATTAGTTAATTCTAATTCTATTAGCTTGGTTGATACTAGAAGCGAGGCACTTGTTACTACTAGCGTGGCACTTGTTCCTAGTAGCGATGTTGTTTGTGTTAAGAAACGTTGGGACTCTAGTCTTCCACTTAAAAAAATCTGAAGGTAGGCCGTTTACACGCATTCTTTCCTCACATCCTGCAGGTTGCGACAGGGTTTGAGGCCCAAACAAAGGGTGCGCAAAGAGGAGTTGCCCTGCGAGAGCGCAAAAAACTGCCCGTGGAGCTCTTTGATGCAAAAGCGCTCAGAAGAAGAATGTGATTTAAGTAGCTACTAAGCTTAAGTAGCCACTAATGGCGATGGCCTCCAACCTACTAGCAATGGCCTCCGTGAACACATGTCTCAGTACACCAGTCTTGCTGCCTTGAGGGCATCTGCAAGCACAATAGCTCCTTTGACGCCAAAATGCCATTCCAGGACGAGCTTTTTACTAGGAGCAAGGACGCTACTAGGAACAAGTGCATCGCTTCTAGTAACAGGTGCCTTACTAGTAGTAACAAGAAGCTCTAGGAGCAAGGACGCTAATTACTAGGGGCTCCTGGCATCGCTACTAGGAGCAAAGGACGCTACTAGAAGAGAACAAGAGGAGCACAAGAGCTTGCAGTAGCTTTTAAACCGCTTAAACGTGACCTTAAGCGCTTCTCCTGTATCTCCCAAGGAGTGACCGGTGAGATCCTTGGCAACAGGTGCACACTCAGAACTCCTTCAGCTGGTTTAACTTTAGACTTTCCTCATGTCTTCTCTTTCTTATGTCCTCCTTTCTTTCTTTCTTTCCGTGTATTTCATCCTTTCTCTTTAGGTTGGAGGCCATCGCTCTTAGGTTGGAGTACTTGTATGTCCGAAATCCATTGGTTTCACACGGTTGGTTGGAGTGAGTCGAGGCTCCAAAAGAGAGAGGTCATTCTTCGCCAGTTGACCCAAAGTCTCTTTCAGCAAAAGCTGAGCTTTCGAGACCTCCTGCAAGTAGCAAGGGCGCTACTAGGAACCTTGCATCGTTACTGGGGCTACTAATGCGGCACATCACATCTGGCTACACAGGTCTTGACTCTTCAAAAGCTTTCAAGAAGGCTCCCTCTAAGACTCTACACGTGACCTCTTCACATGTTCTCAATCAGTTGGCGTCCTTGTCGCCGCAACTACACCTTGAAACTGCAAGCACTAGTAAACAAGTGCCTTACTACTAGTAACAAGAAGCTATTAGAATTAACTTAAAATTAACTTAAATTAACTAATAGCTTCTTGTTACTAGTAGTAAGGCACTTGTTACTACTAGCGATGCACCTGTTACTAGAGATGTACCAATGTTGGATCACTGAGGTGGTGACCCAGCTGCGCCCATCGCTACGAACAAAGGACATGGCTACTAGGAGCAAGGGCATCGCTACTAGGAGCAAAGACGCAACTAGGGGCTCCTGGCCATACTACTAGTAACAAGAAGCTACTAGTAACAAAGGGCATCGCTACGAACGGAGCAAGGGCATCGCTACTGTGACGTGTTGACCAAACACGCTGAACGCGTTGTCAATGTGATTCAACTTGTGGCTTTGATGTGGTCACATTTCATGTGGCAAGCAAGCTTGGTGAACGTCTGTTGGCACATGAGCCAGAAGATAACGGGCCATGTGACAAACAGAAGCACAGACTGACTTTTGACGGACCGACACGCCCGGTAGCGTTTGCAGAAAAACAGAATTTGTGGAAAAGAACATCCGCATCTGGTTCGCTGACATTGTCAGCCTCGCCTCCAGTTCATGACCAACCTGAGTTGGGCTTCTCGCATTTCCGTATAAAACCAAAACTCTGAGTTCTGAAACCAAGCGGGGGGGTAGGAGCAAGAAGCTAGGGGCGGCATCGCTACGAACAAAGGAGATCATTGCCAGTCGAAACATGAACCGGATTGAGCTCCAGACTTGTTCCAAGTGATGCTTGGTTTGCCCAATGAGGCGAGAAGCCTCTCATGGCTCGTTTTCACAAAACACATAGGTGACTCGACCCTGTGCCGGGGCTGTCCTGTCCCAGCAGGACTGTGCTTTGCTTTGAAAGCCTTGGTGTTCGATCAAAGAGGCTGAAGGGGTGTCAAGCACGGCAGGGCGGCACTTGCAATCTGTGTGGCAAAATGTTTACTACCAGTAGCAAGTGCATCGATACTAGTACCAACAAGGGCATTACTAGTAGTAACAAGAAGCTATTAACTTAAATTAACTTTAGTTTAATTCTAATAGCAAACATTGGTACTACTAGTAAGGCACTTGTTACTACTAGCGAGGCACTTGTTACTACTTGCAAAATGTTTACCCACAACACGTTCAACATCTTGGAAAATGAGTGGGACATGTTCTCACAGGGACACAGGTCGGGCGTGAAATTTCGTGTGGCAAGGGGAAAGAAAATAGAGCTTTTCGCTGCCAATTTGACATAAGCAAGTTTGCTCCTAGTAGCTTTACTAGGACTAGGGGCTCCTGGCATCGCTACTAGGAGCAAAAAAAAGAACTTTTTGGAACAACTCATCTCGACCGTTTCAGTTTGAGTTCGTTTGAGTTGGGATATCGCTGAGTGCCAAGACTCCCCAAGGACCGCCACCTGCCCAGCAAAGGATTTGGCATACTCCTGTGGGAGCTCCTTAGAACAGGAAGCAATGGCCTCCAAGCAGCTTCTAGCTACTAGTAATAATGCCCTAGCTACTAGTAGCGTCCTTGCTACTAGTAGCGATGCCCTTGTTACTACTGGCAATGGCCTCCAACCTAATTGTGGTGGGAACCTAATTGAAATGGCCTCCAACCTAGAAGCGATGGCCTCCACCTACTAGCGATCTTCTGGATGAAAAAGAGGACTCGTTTCACAGAAAGAAGAGCACAGTGAATGGAACGTCGTAAGTAGAAACTCACAACAACTCAGGGCAAACAGTCGGAAGCGGCGTCATTCCCGGCTTCACGACTCTTCGAGCAACATGCTCAGTTCTTGGGCTTCCAAACCACTCTAGGCTTGGAGGAGCCTGATGGTTTTGCCTCAGACTTGCAAATACACTTGACAAATCCCATGCATTCTTAGCACATGGCAATCCTTGTCAAACCTTAGGCCAGAACGCAGAAATACCTCATGGCTGGTACAGACTCAACTCCCAGTGCACATACTGCCCCGGCCATTGGAGATGACTGGGTGAGCGGCGCGTCGTTGATTACCTTGCTGCACTGCACCTTTCACAAGTCAACTCCACAGTTTTTGACAAACCGGCAAAGAAGGAAAAGACAAAAGAGGGAAAAGACAAAAGACACAGGTCGGTCCAAAAGCGGAAAGAGAAAACAAAGGAGAAAGCGAAACAAGGCTAAGCAACCTCTTGTCAAAAGACCACTTGGAAAGACCAAGCGAACCTGGTTCCCGAAGAAGGCGCTCTGGATGCCCTTGAAAAGGCTCGGAGCATGCACCAACTCACACACAGAGCACCTACACGTCCTCCAAAAAAAGAGAAGAAACCACATCTTGGTTGTGTTTGTTGGCTACTTCGTTTGCTCTGCATGTTGATCTTTGTTGCTTGGGCTGTGGATCCTGCATGTGGCAAAAACGCAGGAAACGATACTCCTGGCGAGAGGAGTCGAACGTGGGAAACAACACTCGTGGAACAACAAAGCAGCAGGCTGTGTAAGGCCAGGAGCCCCTAGTAGCGTCCTTGCTCCTAGTAGTAAGGCCCTTTGCTACTAGTAGCTTCTTGTTACTACTAGTAAGGCACTTGTTACTACTGGCGATGCACTTGCTGCTACTAGTAGCTTCTTGCTCCTAGCCAAAATTGAACACAAATGGTGAGAAGCCTTCGGAAGCAACAAGGTCGCTTGGCCTAGGCACTTTGGGCGGAAAGCTTCATCAGTGCTTTGACGTGTCGGAAAACAAATTCCCAGGATGAGACGCTACGAACGGGGCTCCTGGCCTTACTACTAGGAGCAAGAAGCTACTAGTAGCAAGTGCCTCGCTAGTAGTAACAAGTGCCTTACTAGTAGTAACAAGAAGCTATTAGTAACAAGAAGCTACTAGTAACAAAGGGGGCATCGCTACGAACGGAGCAAGGATGCTATTAGGTTGGAGGCCATCACTCTTAGGGAGGTCGTTTACGTCTTTGCCTTGTGGCAAAAGAACATCATCTCTAACGTCTCTTCCGTCCCTTGCGTCTTGGATTCAAACGACTTCAACTCGTCCAGCTCGCCTGAACGTCGACAGGATGAAAAGGAAACAGTGTGAGGAAAAGACTTCTCCTAGTAGCGTGGCACTTGTTTCTAGTAGCTTCTTGTTACTACTAGTAAGGCACCTGTTACTACTAGCGTGGCACTTGTTACTACTAGCGTACAAATGACATGCTTGTCTTTTCAATTGTTATGTTTATTTGGAGATTGGGCCGCGAAGACTGGGGGGAATGGTGAGGTAGGGTAGGTAGTAAGTAGTAAGTAAAGCACCAGAAGTAAGCTGCTACTGAGCAGGAAGCTATTTATAGCCCTTTGCTCCTAGTAGCGTCCTTGCTCCTAGTAGTAAGGCCAGGAGCCCCTAGCAGCGTCCTTGCTTCTAGTAGCGATGCCCTTTGCTCCTAGTAGCTTCTTGTTACTAGCAAGCATGCAGAATGGCCAAAGTTCCTCACATGGTCATAACTTGCAGTATATCCAAGGCAAGAATGGAAGAACTTAACACCCTGGCCTGCGAGAAACACACTGGCCTTCGCCATCAGCGTACTCTTTGGTTACTGCGTGTTTCGTGGGGAGTGAAGAACTGTTGGAAACAGAATCTCGAGTGAATTGTGGGTCAAAGCAACATTGCATCCCGGTCAACCCAAGAAATATCAGGTGAAATTCAATCTAAATCGCTAGGCACCCTTAAACTAAGTCACCGACGTCACTGTTGTTATTGCGAAATTTTGTCAAGGACTCCTGGAGCCAAACAGCCTTACAGGCTGTCGAAGTGTCAGAAATCAGAAATCATTAGGTTGGACTTGCTCCTAGTAGCGTCTTTGCTCCTAGTAGCGATGCCAGGAGCCCCTAGTAGCTTCTTGTTCCTAGTAGCGATGCCAGGAGCCCCTAGTAGCTTCTTGTTCCTAGTAGCGATGCCAGGAGCCCCTAGTAGCATTAGGTTGGACTAAGCATCCAAAATCTGCAAAAATGTGGTGAGACAGCGAGACACTCCGTTTTGAGAGCGACTGTTGAGAGCGTGGAGGCTCTTCTTGTGAGACGTCATAGTTGCACACGGGATTCACGACATTCGTCAGAAATTCACGACATTCACACCGATGAAACGTGACAAACGTGACAAAGCCTCGCATGCCGGTGCCAACAAGAACCTTTGACTCAGAAGACACATGTATTTGAGACGAAATGTGCAAACACTGTCGCTCACTTCTTGGCGAAGACCACTTGGTCCACTAGCTTGCGGCCCATGACCTGAAAAAGAGTACCGAAACGAGAAGAAAACAAAGAGATTTAAAACAATGAAAATAAGAAAGGAAAGGACAAACGCTTTTTAGTAGGGTCCAAGAAAGAAAAGGAAACACACTTTAGTAGGGTCCCTTTCTGCCCTTACCATCAATTGTCCATCCGTCTTTTTTTTGCAGAAATTGGAATGGCCTCCAACCTTTCTTTAGACCTTAGCGATGCCCTTTGTTACTAGTAGCTTCTTGCTCCTAGTAGTAAGGCCAGGAGCCCCTAGTAGCGTCCTTGCTTCTAGTAGCGATGCCCTTTGCTCCTAGTAGCTTCTTGTTCCTAGTAGTAAGGCACTTGTTACTA